CCAGTTGATGGGCATTTGGGCTGTTTCCAAGTTTTAGCTATCACAAACAGTGCTGCTATGAACATGGGTGCACATATATCACTGTGGTGTGATTCTTTTAATTCTTTGGAGCCCAATTTCTTTATTCAAATGTAGAACCTGGTTCCCAGCATATCTGGTCTCTTTTTTTCTGTTTTTTCCCCCATCACTTTTCCATAGCTTCTATCCCTTTCTAACATACTATAGTAACTTACTTATTTGCCATGTAAGTATTTATTCCTTATATACCTACTACGTGATATTAAGCTTAAGAAAAATAGGAATCTTTTATACATTGATGTATTCTATGAACATAGAACAATAAGGTCATGTGATAAGTTCTCAATATATTTATTATAATGTATGATAAAAATTTTGTGCAGATTTCCCTAATGCAGCAATCATCAGGGATAAACTAAATCTAAATTATAATATTTTAATAATTTACATCAAAACAATTATTTCATAAATATAAACACATATAAACATGGATAAAACCTTATCCAACATAATAATGATAGTTTAAATTTATTTAGTATTCAGTGACTTTAAAGAATATTCATAATTATTCTGTTTAATTCTCATATTTTTGTTAGGACAGCAAATCATTCCATTTTAAAAATTGAGAAATGATTCAGAAAGGTTAAATGAGCTGCTCAATATCTTGTTACCAAGAAGGTTCAAAGAAATAATTTAATGTTTGGTCCTTTGTTCTCAAGAAAGTGCTCTTTCTATTACATTATCCTGGCTTTCAATGTTAAGATTACATTCACACTGGATTTTTCCCTTTATCAATATCAGTCATTGAATAAATATTAGTTGAGTAGCTATTATATGCCAGGAAATGTTACCTTTGGAAATATAAAAATATACAAAACCTCCTTGTGTTCCTCAAGCAGCTCACAACTAAACAGAGGGTAAACTGGAGCCTAGAGAAAAGTGTTCCAGACTAGGCATCAGGAGAACTGTGTTTTAATCTTACCTTTGAATCTTTGAGCAGTTAATGAAGGGCATGGGATAGAGCCTCTCTACTCTATTTTTCCAACATTTTCTCATTTGTAAAATGTAGATAGTCATACTGCTCTATCACTGATGAGTTTAGAGGATCTAATAGATTATTACATTAACACAGTTCATAAATTATAAAGAATTATATAAATATGTGGTGATTTCATTTTATCCTACTAAATTTGTCATTCTATGGGAATGGTATGAACCCTAGAATGATAAAGTAAACCATAAGTATTATAAATTATATTGAAATGCACTTTAACTGTTATATCTGACTCCAGTGGACCATATTTTGAACAGATGTTCCTGCTGGGTTATGTGAAAAATATACATCCAAATGACTCTGAGGGGTAAACAAAGGATTTTTATACTTAGTTTAATCAGAGAAAGCATAATTTTGATATTTAATGAATTAAATGAAAGTCAATTTTTAATAAAAAATATCAATCAAAACAAGTCAAATTGTATTTTAAATATACAAATGTACTTATTAAATTGTAAACAT